CTACTCTCCGGGGGAGTGTGTTCCACTGTCGAACAGCCCTTACTGTCAAACCATAAGGTTGTGAGTTCAATCCCATGCAGGGGCTCAGGGCTGACTCAGGCTTCCATCCTTCCAAGTTGCTAAAATGAGTACCCAGCTTGATGGGGGCAATTAGCTACAGTTGTAAACCTCTTAGAGAGTGCTTAGAGCGGTATGAAGTGGTATATAAATGAAGCTGCTATTGCTGTTGCTATATACACAAATTGTATTAGAACTATGGAAGGAAGGGTGCAAAAATCCAGCATCTAGAGGGTTAAGGGCAATCAGCTTACTGCAGCAGTAGCTGCTGACTCAACTTTGTACAGTGTCTCTGGGCTCCACCCAGCTGAGGTGTCTGCAGCCTGACTAATGTCAGTGTAACACACCTCCGGGAAAAGAACAAACCCAGACAAGCCCAAGAGAGAGTGCATGGGGGTTGTTCCACTCCCTTCTCAGCCAAGCTTACAGTTAGTTTCCAGCATTCCCCCAGTTCCAGCACCAGCCTTTATACTCAGGAAGGTGCCATTCCTCCATTAAACTCTATCTACTGGCACTTATTTTTTTAAAAAAACAGAACTGGAGACCCTTTCTTGCCTTGTGCAGAGAAGAGTGGCAGCAAACAATTATTTCCCCTGCTTTAGCAACTCCATTGGCCCCAGGCTTTTTTCTTGAGTGTACATTCCTGCACTAGAGTCTAAACTGGGTTATGTGGCTATGATGTGGGCTCTGTCACTCAAAGCAGCATCCTGGCACGTAACCACAGCTTCTGGAGGCAGGGGTGGGCGGGAGAGCCACAGATTACCAGAGCTGAGATTTAATACAAGTGGTTTTCATGGAATTATGTATTCCTCTTCTCCATGAATTGTTGCCAAGCTGAGGATTTAGATTAAGGGGAACTTTGTATGTATAATATAGAGAAGGAATGTTCGTAAACAGAGAAAGAGAAAGGGCTAAGGCAAAGAGGTGACCACATTTTACAATGTATTCTTTGCCATTTTGACATTTCACCAACATCACAGCGAGCCTGTAGGGTCACCAGACTGAAAACTGGAGAGGGCTCCTGCACCTTTAATGGCTGTGTAGAAGAGGGAATTTCAGCAAGTGTCATGCAACCAGTTAACTAGCAGCACCTGATGCAAATCCTTCTTCTACACTACCATTAAGATACAGGAGACCTCTCCAATTTTCACTCTGACAATCCTAGCAGGGTGATATCAATCTATGGCAGAAAAAAACCAGGGAAGAGCCTTTCGACACCGTAAAGGGCTGAGACGCAGGTTTAAAACTGCTTTAATTATTATTTTAAGATTGTTTCATATTTGTCTCCCATGGGATCTCCACATATAAGGTGGGCTAAAACATGTTTGAATAAATAAAAGATGTGTTTCCTCAGAAGTATTCTCAGAATTGAGTTTTCAATGGAATTTACAAGTACAATGGGCACTTGGTATCTGTCGGGGTTTGGTTCGAGGACACCCAGAGGAAAATCCATGGATGCTCAAGTCCCCTTAAATATAATGGTATACTAAAAAGGTGTCCCTTAGATAAAATCAATGCTTTTTGTAATTTATATATTTAAAATATTTTCAAGCCGTGGATGGTTGAATCCATGGATATGGAGGGCTGACTGTACAGGATTGTACAGGATTAAATAATGTTTCAGAGTTTTGACCAAAATTCATTAGTGTGTTTATAAAACTGGAATTCCCCACCAATGCCAGTGCTGCTTCTTGGTCATCCTTCCATTGGCCAGCAAAGCCATTTTGAGTCAGGTAGGTAAGGAAAGTGCATGCAGCCCCACCTCCTTCCTTGCAGGCCCCACAGTACCCAACCCCAGTGCAAAAATTGGGTGTTGAAATCACCTAAAATGATTATTCCCACTCCAAGAGGCCTACAGGAGCACATACTCTCCAATTGTCCCAATTTGGCAGAGAGGGCCCCAAATAATTATCTATCATCCCATTTTAGTTGTTTTTAAAATGTCCCAGTTTCTCTCTCCTCCTCCAACTTTCCTCCTTTGCTCTCAGCTTACTTTAATTGCTGCAAACTGAATTCAAAGAACAAATGTTCACAATGTGCCTGAATGCTGACATTCATACCTGAATGCTAGCCATCCCAGCTGAATTTTGTGAATGTCCAAAAAAAAAGCTATTCATTACATTGTTTTCCCATTAGTTTGTGGGCCAGATTCAAGGTGCTCATTCTTCTGCTAAAAGTCCTTACTGGGCTGTATCCTTCCCAATATATACTTCCTCCAATAACTTCAAATCAACAACTAAAGTTGATTTGAATCCCATTTTATTAGGGCTCTGCAAGTCTCTCCCCCACCCCCTCATATGTAAAGCCAGTCCTTTGCTACCCCTTGGCATAATGAAAAAAGAGAACAAGACAGGCTATTGCTGAACCATTCCTCACCCCCCACAACAGGATATGTACAGAACTGGCTCCTCCCTACTGTTTTTTTTTTTTTTTAATTTTACCAATGCCTTTCAAATGACCTATTCTAGTGTAGATAGTTTGTTTTCCTCCTCCACCATCACTCTATTCCTTAGAGATTTATAGCTTAGAGAACTCCAAAATCAACAGCAGGAAAAATGTAAGATGGATGTCCAAGCACAAGGGTGGACCAAGTTCTTAGAGTTTCTCTTAGAACTAATGGGAATCATTGCTCCTGGCAAAAGCATCCTTCCCAGCATCTCCTCTAGGCCTCCATGTCATCTTGCATGTGG